TATTATATAACACACATATTAGATACATATGCGTGTGTATACACATTATATGTGGACAGAGAGAGAAAAAGAGAAGGAGGGAGGGAGAGAGAAAGAAGAAAAGGAGGGAGAAAAAGAGAAAAAGAAAAAGAAAGAGAGACAGAGAGAGACAGAAAGACAGAAAGTGAGAGAGACAGAGCGTAAGAGACAGAGACAGAGAGAAAATGAAAATAAAATGGCCACTAAATTAAAAAAAATAGCTGGAAAACCAAGAAATTTAAAAGCAAAGTTAAGCGTCAGGAAAATTATGGAAAAAAATAGAGAAAAAATTAAAAAAAATGGAAAGTTGTAGTAATAGCATGAGGAACTTTTTGAAGAAGGGCAGGACCATTAAAATAGATAAATCATTGGCTAATTGATTTTTAAAACTTCAATCTGTATTCAGATACAGTTTTTTCTCTGGGGATAGACAGCATTTATCATTATAAGTCCTTCAGAGTTGTCTTGGATCACCGCATTGCTGAGAATAGTTAACTCACTGGGTTAACTGATTTTTTTTTTAAGAAAGGAAAACCAAGTTATCAGTATCAAAAGTGGAAAAAATGTAGAATATAGACAACAAAGAAATATGCTTCCTTAATAAAGGCAATGGAGTGGTGATAGAGAGGAACAAGCCACAGTTTTAGAATATCTATAATCATTTAGGTAATTGTTTTCATGTAATTATGACACAATGTCAAGCGACTAATTAGTTGCAGAAGACATAAACTGCATTGATGCTATTATTCCCCTTGCAAGTGAAACAAGAAAAATTAAAGTTTCATGGTTGTAAGATCTCATTCTTCCATATATTTTGGTACTAAAGTGACTTTTCTCCCTTCCTACAGTTTCTGTATATTCAACATCTTAAAACACTTTTTAGAACTTTATGGCTTATAAAATCCTTTATACATCTTAGTTTATTTGAACCTTACAATAGCCCTATGAGTTAGGTAAAGCAATCACTGTCATCTCTCTTGCAATGAGGAACCTGTGGCTCAAAGGAATTCTGATATGTTCTGGGTCATATAGCTAGCAAGTTTCCAAGTCAGGACTCAAACCCAGGTTTTTGGGTTTCAGCTCCAGAATTATGACAATATAAGAAATACAATAGTGTACTCTATTATTTAGGAGGTAGGCAACATGTTATAGTCGATAGATTCTATAATATGGAAAGTAGAGGCCTTGGTTTGAATCTTATCCTCATACTTTGCAAACTTAGGGCAGCTAATTAATTTCTGTAAGGCTCACTTCTCTTTTCTGAAAAATTACTGGTGATCTCTCAGGTCCTTCCTGATCTAGATCTTATGTTCTTATTATTTTATTCAGGGAAGAGAGGAGAGAGAAAAAGACAAGTCTCCTGATTTGAAGCCCCAGAGTCAGTAAGTACTTTTCCCCCCAGGAACTGCTATCACTGGAACATTTCTGATATGACTGCAGTGCCAAAATATCCTGAATTGATTTGTCACAATTCATCTCAAAATATCTCAACAGGTACAACCCTCATTTGGTTTTTTCCACAAAATAAGATGGAATACATCTGGCGAAGTTTTAAAGGAAAAATAAAATATAAAATGTTAATACTTATAACAGAAACTTGGGGGCAAATAAGGTGACTGAAATTCAAAATTAAATGAGTACCTCTAAAATAACTCAGTCAAATGAAGCAACAAAGAAAATATCTCAATGAAGCCTTGCATATAGATTAAAAAAAAAAAAGAAAACAACTTTCGGTTACTAATCTTTTTTTTTAATTGGCCTATGACATTGCTATTTCAGACTTTTCCACAAAACAATGACAAAGTAGTTGCACTTAGTTTAACCTCTGATAAGTCATTAATTCTTATAATAACTAACCACACTTGTGAGGAAATATTTTTTTAAAATTCACACTTTTCTCTAATTCTATTTCTATCTGCTCATACAAATAGAATTTTCTTTTATGTAATCTATAATAAAACTCATTACAATAAAGATGCTTTAAATCTATTACATTTGCTATAACCCTTTATTCTAGTTTTGAATTTGTTTCCATAAAAGGACTGAAACTTATGAATACATCAAAGGACCACCCTAGGTCAATTTATTTATTTACACAGTGAAGAAAATTTAAAAAGTAGAATGAAAATTTTGATTTCAAAGTTTATAATACCTGGTTATGGTTATTTCAATCTAAAGTGCATCTCTGCAGACAGGAGAAAACATACCAAATTACTTTTAATAATTTTCATCATCTTACGGCTTTTGTCTGCTAATGTAAACATGAAAAAATTAATCGGTATAACTATAAAATATATATATAATATATAATCATATTTGACTCTAAATAAGAGTACAAAAATGGTTATTAGATAACTCCATTGTGACAATTTCAAATTCTCATGTGTCTGTCATTACTGTTTTTTTGTCACACTAGAGTAAAGGCAGGCATCAGAGGAGTGATACCTTTCCACATCTCATCTACTATTCATAATTCTAAATTTCTCCAAACAGGATAACAACTAGTATATGAGATGTGACCAGTAACCTGATTGTACAGGAATTCTTAACTTTATTCCATAAGAAAGTACTTTGTAAACTTTATAATATATATGAATCCATTAACGTTATCATTATACCATCCCTTATTTAATCAAAGCTAAGCAAAAAAGAAAACTTTTAAAATGCTATTTTAAGTCTGATTTCCAGTATTATTTTTATGTCAAAAATGATTCACATGCTCAAGGACATTCTGTATATTTCAGTTGAATCCATAGTACCATAATGTGAATGATGTTACCACATTAGATTAATATGCTGTTACAAAATTATAATTACTTAAAAGGAACAACTATGTGAAAGTAGAATTTTCCTCAGCTTTGTTACAAGTATTAGCTGCCTTTAATTTTTTTAGATGATCAGATTACAGTAAATAACCTGGAAGCATATGACCTGGCTATATAATCTATATAGAAATAAGAAACTGAAGTTGCCTATAAAGAACTTAAATGAGTTTAGGAAATCATAGCTTTCAATCATATTTTGTGGGAATTTTCAATAATATTCTTAGTAAATCATCTCAGAATAGTAAGAAAATAAAGTGAAAGAAGTATATTACATACTGCATTATATTTAAAACTTCTAAATTTACTTATGTATTCATGTTACATTTTATATTTCATGTTACATTTGTATATAAATACAAACATAAATTTAGAAATTCTAAATACAATGTAATATTTAACATCTTTATTTTAATGTTTTTGCTCTGCATATACACACGCATATAAACATACATACATGAATATATGTATCTAATCATTAAGGTAAGGATTCAAAAGCCAGCATCATTCAATTATGTCTTGTTGTATATTTAATTTTAGATGTACAGGTATATCATCCAATAAGAAGTCTTTTGATGTAAAATATATATATGTGTGTGGGGGGTGTGTGTATATTATGTTTATATGTATATATGTATATGTATATATATATATATATATATATGTATAATTATAATTTAAAACTCAGGACATAGAATGATGACTACAAATCATAATATAAAAAGCTTGGGGATAAACATGTACAAGAAAAAAAAACAGGCCCTGAACATTAACTATTTGGTTTTGTTTTATTATTTTTAAGGACAGTAAAAATGTGCTCAAAGGCACTGAAACAGCTTTTCTTTTATTCTAAGGAGAAAATGTACATCATTCAAAATTATAGTAATACCAAATGTGATAAGGTATTAATAACAATTTAACTATAACAAGCAATGTAATGTGGTTTTTCAAAATTTGACTAATTTACATTGCAATTTCTAGTATATTGCCATGCTGAATAAATAAATGAAAGTATTTCTAAGTTTCTAAGATTTAACTGAGTCTACAGTATTATAAATGCAACCTTTCTTTAGAAGATTAAAAGGATCTTTTATGCAACAAACTTAAAAGTTAAGCAAATCCAGAGCTATATGAACAGTCCAACCAGAATTAACATAGTAAATACGTGAGTGAATGAATATTTTAATGTTAAGTTCCTTTGTCTGAAGTGTACAAAAGGTCCAGGCAATAGTAACTGAGTACACAAAGATGGACCTTTGAGGTAACAAGATATCTTGTTTATATAAATTTTTATTCATCTCTTTGGGAATTAATGCACCCATCTACTATACACTTTGAACATTTAGCTATAATACTTCTGAAAAATCCTTCAAATAAAGTCTATCAGAGAATCACAAAGTCATAGATTGGAAATTTGAAGGTATCCTGGAGGTTCTTTAGCCCAAACCCATCATTTTAGAGATGAGGATATTTATGACCAAGAAAAACTAAACAATGGGCCAAAGAATTGGGATTTAAACATGTATATTCTGTCTTGCAGTCTACCAAAAGTAAGTAGATTTTATAATAATAATAAATAGAATATACCATATTGTAAACTCCATAAACACTATTTTTGTATTGTAAGAGTCCAAAGTGAGAACAAATATGTTAGCATAGGTACAGGTTTTTTTTTAATGTAATAGCAGCATCAGTTAAAGTTTCATAACATCTGATTTGTGTGTATGTATACACATACACACGTACATAATAGCTATATATAATGTGTGTATGTATATTAATGTCTGCATGTGTATGTATGCATATATGCCTTTATGTATTCTTATTCAGTCATTACAATAGTTAACTTAGAGGGATAAACAAAAAAACAATTCTGGAAGTTGTTTTGAGACTTTATTTTGATGAAAACATGTAAGTATGAGTTATTTTAATGTTTATGATTTTACAAATGCTATATTAATGGCCACTTGCTATTCTGCATGTCAAAAGAGTTCTTGACTTACATCCTTATTTCTTCTTAATATTACCTGTGATATGAGTTATAAAAAAATTCATTCTAATCATATCCTTAAAGTTATCCTTCACTTAAAAGCATTGCTTATCCCACTTTTTACAGATAGTTATCAAGCAAGTCAACATCTAAAAGCCTTTTTAACTTACCCCATTTAATGGATATGTTTTCCATCCTAGCTCTCCAAGTACAGTTGTGGTATCAAGCAAGATAACTGAAATAAAAAAATATATATATATATATGTATATATATTTTTAAAGTAAACAAAAATATTTGAAAATTTGTGGAAGCATTTTATTCCAAATTACTATTTGAATGTTCATTGTATGTTATTCTGTAAATTAGTCATTTAATATTTAGAAAAATTCTTCATGCTAATTAACTTGGCAAAATTTTTAAAAATCTGTTATTTGGTAACAAGTAAATTTTAAAATGGGGTTATAAGCAATGAAGCTGTGGAGTAGAGTATTTAATGTTTATCTTTTTTTTTCTCCTGGAGTGATTTTATGGGGATAGTTTAGGATTCATGACTGATTGTATAACTATGATTTTATATGGACCATAAGAAAAAAAAAACAATCATCAAGTATTTATTGTATTATTCTTAGGCTTCTGAATGATGTTATATGAATGACCCAAGATAGTTAAACTATATCATAGAATGTGGAAAGGGGTATAATGTACAATAAAATATATTAGGAGGGATAGCCAAGACAGTAGAATAATGTCAGGGACTCCTCTGAGCTGTCCCTCAACCCCTTCGAAATACCCATAATAAATGACCCTAAACAAATTCTAGAGCAGAAGAACCCACAAAAAGACAATTTTCTAACCCAAGACAACTTATAAGATCAGCAGGAAAGGTCTGTTGCATCAGGGTGAGAGAGGAACATAGTCCAGCACAGGCCACAACAGCAAAAATTGGGCCCAGCAAATCAGAAACAGACCTCAGAGTGCCTGAATCAGTCACAGCAGTGGCAGTTTCCAGACCTCTTAGCCCTCAGATTCCAGGTCGGTGGTAGTCAGTCCCACTTGGGTGGGAGTGGAGCACCATCTAGTTCAGGCTGCACCAGTGTATATAAGGGCCCAGCAAATGAAAAGCAGGCCTTGGGGGTGACTGCATAAGCAGTGGCAGTAGCTCCTTCCAAAGCTCTCAGCCCACCTGCAGGAAGCATGTTGAACAACTAGTCAGAAGGAGATTAAAAAGTCTCTTTGCTAGAACTGGGGGCAGGATTCTGTTGTTTTGCCCATATTCAGATCACATTGGAGGTCATGGGTGGCCATCCCAGGATAATAAGGGGCACTTGCATACCACAGCTTGGGATCCCAGTGAAGTGAGGATTCTCCTCACAGATTCAGGGCAGAAGAGAGAACCTGTGGTCACTCACAGACCAGAACACAGGCCAGAAGAGGTAAACACTTCTCCTTAGATCATACTACCTTGGAAGAACTGAAAACCTACAGGTCCCTAGAAATAACTCTGAAAACAGCTGCACAAAACTCCTGAAGCTTGAGAGAGTTTGTCATCCACCCTGGAAGCAGATCTCTACTTTAACAGAGAGTTAAGTCAAGTAATAAGCTAAGGATGTGAGCAAACAACAATAAAATTCTGCCCATAGAAACTTACTACAGTGACAAGGAAGATCAAAACAAACAGTCAGAAAAAAGATCACAAAATTAAAGCTTCAATATCACCAAAGCCTCCAAGAAAAATTTGAGTTGGAGGAGCTCAAAAAGGATTTTGAAAATCAAGTAAGAGAGGTAAGAAAAAATTGGAAAGAAAAATGGGAGTGATGCAAGAAAATCATGAAAAACAAGTCAACAGCTTGGTAAAGAGACATAAAAAATACTGAAGAAAATAACACCTTAAAAAATAGACTAGGCCAAATGATAAAAGAGGTCTAAAAAGCCAAGGAGAAGAAGAATGCCCTAAAAGAGCAGAATTGTCCAAATTGAAAAAGAGGCACGAAATTAAATGAAGAAAAAAAAACTCCTTAAAAAGTAGAATTGGCCAAATGGAAAAGGAGGTACAAAAGGTCACTGAAGAAAATAATTCCTTAAAAATTAGAATTGAGGAAGGCAGAGCCAAGATGGTGGAGTTAAAGCAGGGACTCACCTGAGTTCTCCCCCAAATCTCTTCAAATACCTCTTAAAAATGACTCTGAACAAATTCTAGAGTGGCAGAAGCCACAAAGAGACAGAGTGAGGCAGATTTCCAGCCCAAGAGAACCTAGACAGGAAAGGTCTGTTGCACCAGCCTGAGAGAGGAGCATCCAGTATACAAGGCACAGAAAAAGACAGGGCCTAAAGAAAACTTCTCTGGGTGACTGAATCACCAAGGCCCAACTACCCAGCAAAACTGAGAATAATCTTTCAGGGGAGGAGATACAAATGCAATGAAATAGAGGATTTCCTGACTTTCCTGATGAAGAGACCAGAGTTCAATGGAAAATTTGATCTTCAAATACAAAACTCAATAGAGGCATAAAAAGCTAAACAGGAAAGGGAAAAATAAACATGTTCAATAAGGGTAAATGGTTTACATCCCTACATGGGAAGATGATACTTATAACTCTTGAGAACTGTATCTTTATTACAACATTTAGAAGAGATATAAATAGACAGAGGGGATGGGTTTAAGTTGACCTTGATGTAATAAAAATCCTAATGAAGTGGTTAAAAGGAATTGTAAAGGGACAAAATGAAAAGAGGAAGAAGAAAAGGGTAAATTACATCACATGAAGAGGCATAAAGACATATTACAGCAGAGAGAAAGAAGGGAAGGAAATAAGCATTGTTTGAACTTCACTCTCATCTAATATGGCTAAAGGAGGGAATAGCATACTCAGTTAGGTATAGAAATTTAATTTGCCATGTAGGCATATGAGGGGAAATAGGAAAGAAAAAGGAAGGGGGTATAGAAGGGAGGACAGATCTGAGGGAGGCAGTGGTCACAGGCAAAACTTCAGTGAAGACAGAAAGGGAGAAAAGGAGAAATAAAAGCATAAATAGTTAAAGGGGAATAGGAGGAGAGAAAGACACAGACAGTAATTATAACTGCAAATGGGAATGAGATGAACCCCCATAAAACTGAAGCAGATAACAGAATGGATTAAAAACCAAAATCCTACAATCTGCTGTTTACAAGAAACACATTTGAAACAGAGGGATACATGCAGGGTAAAGGTAAAACGATGGAGTAGAATGCTTCAGCTAAAGTAAAAAAAAAAAGCAGGAGTAGCAATCCTGATCTCAGACAAAGCAAAAGCAAAAATAGATCTTGTTAAGAGAGATAAGGAAGGAAACTATATCCTGAAAAAAGGCATAATAGGAAATGAAGTAATATCACTATTAAACATAAATGCAAAAAGTGGAGAAAATCCTGCAACAGCTGGGAAGAAACAATTCAAATATCATGGAACCACAGTCAGGATTACAGAGGACCTTGCAGCTTTTACATTAAAAGATCTGAGGGCATGCAATACAATATTCCATAAGGCAAAGGAGCTTGGATTACAACTGAAAAACAATTATCCAGAAAAATTGAGTATAATCATGAGAGAAGATGGACATTCAACTAAATAGGGGACTTACAAACTGTTGTGATGAAAATACCAGAGCTCAACATAAAATTTGACCTTCAAATATAAGACTCAAGAGAGGCATAAAAAGGTAAAGAGGAAAGGAAAAAAAATAAGCCATAACAATACATTTTTAAGAAGGGCAAACTGCTTACATTCCTACAAGGCAAGAGGACACTGTAACTTTTTTTATTATAAATTTAATTATTTATTTGTAGTTTTCAACATGCACTTCAAAAATCTCAACATATCAAAAATAAGATTTTGAATTCCCAATTTTTCCCCATTTTTCCTCTCCCCTCCAACACAGTGTGTAAACTGACATAGGCTGAACATATACATTCATATTAAACCTATTTTCACACAAGTCATGTTGCAAAGAATTAAACCATGAGAAACAGGAAACAAAGAGAGAGAGACAGAGAGAGATGAGAGAGAGAGAGAGAGAGAGAGAGAGAGAGAGAGAGAGAGAGAAAGCAAAAATATGCTTTGATCTGCATTCAGACTACATTGTTCTTTTTCTGTATGTGGACATTTTCTATCACGAATTTTTTGGAGCTTTCTCAGATCCTTGCATTTCTAAGAAGAGATAAGTCTATCAGAGTTAGTCATCACGCAAGGTGGCTGTTACTGTGTACAATATTCTCCTGGTTCTACTCACTTCACTCAGCATCAGTTCATATAAATCTTTCCAGGTTTTCTTGAAGTCCACCTGCTCATCATTTCTTACAGCATAATACTGTTCTATTATATTCATATGGCACAATTTGTTCAGCCATTCCCTAACTGATGAGCATCCTCTAAATGTCTAATTCTTTGCCATCACAAAAAGTGCAGCTAATAATGTTTTTGTACGTGTGGGCCCTTTTCCCATTTGTACTGTCATTAAGATACAGACCTAAACATGGTATTGCTGGATCAAAAGGTATGCAGAGTTTTATACCCCTTTGGGCATAGTTCCAAATTACTCCCCAAATGGTTGGACCAGTTCACATCTCCACCAACAATACATTAGTGTTCACATTTTCCCACATCTTCTCCAGCATTTATCATTCATTTTATTTTTTTTCTACATATAATCAAGTTTAATATAAACAAAAAATAGAGGCTCATGGGTAGAAGTGAGTATGAAATGAAATAGGGTGGGCTATTCAGACTCCTCTCCTCCTAAAATCATTTTTTATTAATTTGTTTTCATTTATCAACAATCACTTTCATTAGCTTTTGAGTTTTAAATACTTCTGTCCCTCCCTCCCCAATTCCCTCCCCAAGAGGGATATGAGCTATACATATACATTCCTATTAAACATATTTTAACATCACTGATGTTGTAAGTAATAATTAGAACCAATGGGTGGAACAACAAGAAAGAGAAAACAAAATAAAACAGAAGAAAAAATAGCAAATAGTATGCTTCAATCTGGATTCAAACTTCTTAGTAGTCCTCTTCAGAATTTCTGTCTTGACCTTCACTCTTCTCATAATATGAATATATGGTACCTTTCTTTTTACTCATGATGTTTATTTATTCCCTGGCCTTTAAAGAGATTGAGCTCTCCTGCTGGAGAACATAGGGTACAGACCCAAGCTTTTTGTGTTGAGAGCTGGCTTTGTATGCTGGGGCCTCTTATT